GCTCTTGGGGCAGGCGGTGGTGGCTCCAAGAGGGGGGTCTATGGTGAAATCTGAGGTGGCTGCAGCCCTCCCCGTAGCTCCCTCCCAGCACTGCTGCTGCCGCCTGCCCCAAGCACAGCCCAGGCCAGCCCCCACTGGGAAAAGCCTGGTGCAACCCTGGCCCCAGCACACAGCTGCAGCCTGCCCTGCGCAGATCCAGGGGCACATGCCCCTCCCATGCCCTCCTGGGGTGCATACAATTAGAGAAGCCACCCTCCTCCCATATGAGCCATGACTCCTTCCCACACCCAGCCTGGGCAGTGCCTGCCCCACTCTCTCCCTCACCACAGGAGCCTTGATCTGCCCCCACCCCATGCCCCTTCTCTCTCTCCTCCCCTTCCACCACAATGCACTTACCAGCTGGACACAGCTGTATCAGAAATCAGATCACTATCGGCCAAAGAAGTAGTGGCAAAAACCAATATAACTAACCCAGCAGCACAGAAAAATAAATGCTGTTCTTCCCATTACAAGTAATCTATGTGCAATAGGTCTTCATAAAGGAAGTGTGCTCTTACAGACCATTTGGAAATTAAAGTGACTTTTACAACATCTCTTTTGGTAACCACAAAAACAAAGACCTTGCAGGACAAAAATGGGAGAATGACACCAGATACAGCCTGGATATATCATAGACTTTAATGAATCAAGGCTCCACACATACCAAACAATTTAGAAACTGGACTGGAAAAACAGATGAACTTCAAAATAAGGTAAAAAAGTACAGAAAAGATTTTGGAGGACATCTTAAAATATACAAAATAAAAAGGGGGTGGCGAACCTGATCAATGTACAAAATGCAGTTGTTCAACAGGAAAATTCTGTACCTGTTGTAACAGGAAAAAAACCTACTCCAAGGATGACTCTCAAATTTACATCATCAATAAATCAGGACATTATTCCTTTGAAACAGATAAAATACTGAGATGTTGTTGCTGCCCTTTCATATAAGGATAAATTACTGACTAATTTCTCCTCTGTCTCTTACCTTTGGTGGTGAACTTTGTACAACCAGGTCAACTTCAGGGATATCTAAACCCCGGGCAGCTACATTGGTTGCAACAAGGACTTCAAATAAGCCATTTCTAAAACCTTTCAATGTGATTTCTCTCTGTTTTTGAGGAATGTCACCATGTAGGACTTGGGCATCCTGTAAGAATACATAATTAAGATTTAATGCAACAGAATGGAGCTCAGTAGTACTATCCAGTTGACACAGATTCCAAAATCTACTGGTTCTATGCTATCCTAATGCCAATCACAGCAATAGCCATATTGCTGATATAAAAAAAGGTAAGCATGATACCAGAATTACAGTTATAATTATTTCTGATAGATTTCATCTTATTATTCGTATAGCACCACAGTCCCACATGATTTATAGGCTGATATGCAATAAGACCCAATTCTGATTCACTTATACTTGAGGACCTGCCTAATTCATGGGAACTGCCTCCTGTTTTTGCAGTCTGAGCACAGCACCAGTTGCCATTTCTGCCCCCTCCCCCCCTCTCCTGTGCTTCAGGATAATACGGCTTCCTGCCTCTGGTTTAGCTCCCCCCCCACATGCTGACTGTTTCCCAGCTTTTTTGCAGTCCCCACACTTTTTGTTGCATGAGACCTACCACATTCACAGTTTACATGAAAATCGTGAAATCGGTAGGTCCCTACTTATACTAGTTAATTGGAAGTAACTCTATTTGAAACTAGTGCAAGATCAGACTCAAGATTAAGTACTCTGTACTGAGGAGCTTGCTAGAGGTAGAAAGCATTTGATATGATGTTGCTAGGGGTAGCCAAGTTTAAATTATATCTGATATTTACAGAAAAGTGGTTTGAATCTAAATAAGTGACAAAGTGGGAACTTGTAATTGAACTCTAAGAGATCATGAGCATTTGCTGAAGTGGAAATTATCAGTACATCTGAGAGAATTTCAAACTCACTTCACTCCAAAGGACTTATATTAGCATAAAAATGTAAGTATGTGTGTGTGTCAATACATAACAAGTTAAAGTTATTAGCTGGTTTACTGCTAATGCACCAAACAGATTAAAATCAAGCCAATCAATTACCTGTTTGACCTATACAGTACTTGATTAAATAATGAACATATATGTACTCATATATACTCACCTCTCATTTCAACATCAAAATAAAATTTGCTCCATGTAAATTAAGGATTATCATTACTGGGGGATGAAATGCAAAGTGCAAGTAGCCTAGCTAGTGGACCACCTAAAACCTAAATTAAAGATTTAAACACTTGTTAAAGAAAAGTGCACCTTCAGTCCTGTAACGTGTGTATCCCATATGCCAATTATTCAAACGATGCATTCTTTTAAAATTCAGAAATTTAAATATCAGGTTAGTATGAGGTGGGGTATTTATATTCTACTATTGTTAGTAATTGTTCAGTGTTAGCTGTAAGTTTAGCACTGCACAGTACACAAAAAGAAAAGCTGTTATCCTGAACAGTTTTACAGTCAAGCAAAACCTGACATGATAATGGTCAAGGAGGATAAGCTTCTGGTTTCAGACACCTGAAATATTTTTAAAAGTGTCTCATGGACAAACGATAGAATTTTAGATTCCTATTGACTTTATTTGCATGGCTATGATCCCATCCTCACATTGCAGATTTATAACCTAGATGCCTAATAATACAACCATCTTTTCAGAAACCAAATACCTGTCTGAGCGAAGCATTCTGTGCTAGTTCACTTGCATCCTTTTTGGTCTCACAAAAGATAATTGTCCGTCCATAACTGCCACTGTAGACCTGAATAACATCACCAATAACGGCTGCTCTCTGAGACCAATGACACTCAATAGCCAAATGCTGTCAGGGAAAGAAAATCCATCTATGTTGTATCTATTGTTACTCAAAAGAAAAGTAGCAAAACAAAGCTTAACATATTTTGAAGTTACTCTAAAAAATTTTTTTAATTAAAAAAAACCAACAACAAAAACCCACCCAGAAAACAAATTCATATAAGAAATACTGTTCATCTAAAAATGCTTTACATGGCTTAATCTAATCTGACAGCTAACCAACAGCAACTTAAAGTAATTGCTGACCTTTTAAATGTAGGAACTGTAATCCATATCATCCATACTGTACATCTCTAGAACTGATGCTACTTAGTAATAACACTACTTACATCTACAGTCATAGCAGTCCTTTGAGTCTTCCTTCCAATGAGGTCAATCTGTTCATAACTGGATTTCATGTATTTCTTACCCACATCATACACCCAATGTGGACAAGTTGCAGAAAACAACAGTGTCTGGGGGTTGTCTTCAGAATCTTTGAAAGAAAGCACATACCATCAATAATCCTAGCAGTACTTATAACAAGAGAATTCACGTTTCACATATTCCATATTATGGCCTGTTTATAAAGCAGTAAAGACAATATCGAAATTTGGGAAGCATACAAAATTTAACAATCAAACAGAAAAGCATTTTAAGGCACTCAACAAAAAAATAAGAAAATATGATAAGTGTTGATAAACAGCTGAAGTGGAGCAAGTGCAAGCCTACTTGAAGTCAAAAAATGAAGGAAAAATATTAATGATGAGTCAGATCAATATAGATCTAATTTGTTCAAAAGGAAAGGCAAGGGATAGGCAAATCTCATTTGAATTTCTAGTTCTGTAGACATGATGCAAAGCCTACTCAAATAACCAGAAGCCTTTTCACATAGCTGAATGGACTAAAGATAATTCACTTTATTTTCCTGATAAATCAGAAGGATTTACTTTCCAGAAATGCAGACAATAAATTTGCACACTTACCTTTCTTGTAAGCAAACGTTAAAATTTCTTCTACTTGCTCAGCAAAGCCCATGTCTAACATTTGATCAACTTCATCCAGAACAACATGCTTCACGTTGGAAAGGTTCAGCTTCCCATTTTGAAGATGGTCTTTGATTCGACCCGGAGTTCCAACTAAGATGTCAATGCCATTTTGGATGTGAAGAACTGAAGGAAAGGCAGCAAAATAGTATATAAATGAGAGCGAGAGAGAGAGAGAGAGCACGAGCACACAAGCATACAATTTGCATATTGTTATCAAGTTATAGTAATATTTCTAGTCTGAAGACCAGATAACTAGGGCTCCTGCCCTTTCACCTCTGAAAAAAAAAAAAAAAAAAAGAACTGAATTTATTTGGGGTTATAGGTGAACTGATTTAGCTAGTCACTGAAGACCGTCTACAACAGGGGTGTCCAACCTTTTTGAATGTGGGGCCAGATCATGAACTTTTTAATCACCCAGCAGGCCAGCGAGCAATATTCAACCACCCTCTGTCCTGGGCCAGAGAGACCCTGCCTGTGTAGCCCTACTGCACCTGCCTGTTACTACAAGGTTCATGGTAGCTGCTGGTGGGGAGGGGCAGGAGGGACCCATTCTGCATCCAGCCAGCTATTGCCCCAGAGACTGAAGGGGAGAAATAAATAGCTCCACGTCTCCATCCCCCGAACAGCGCAGACCCACAAGCTGGCGCTGCCTGAAGGGGGGTCGGAGCGAGGCAACCGCTGCACCATAGCCCTTCACCTGCCCGGCCACCCATCCACCTGGCCCCACTCTCTGTGGTGCCCAGCTGCCCACGCATGCAACCCTGGTGGCCTCAGCGCTGCAAGCCCGGAGCGCGGGGTCTGGCAGACACTGGCTCCCGCCACTTTGCCCTGCAGAGGTCACGCCAGGACCCCGCCTGCCGAGGCCCCCCATGCTGGCTTCCCATGTGCTGCTGGGGACAGGAGGAGCTCAGCCAGGTTGGCACCAGCCAGCAGAAGCGGCGGCAGATCCATGTGCTGCTCCGGACTGACCGGTGCAAGCAGGGGGAAAATGCAGGTGAGCCCCTGACGCTCTGGCCAGGCTCGTCCCATCCCAAGCAGCACATGGCTCCGCTGCCGCTTCCGCTGGCCAACGCAGACCTGGCCGGGGCTCCTCCCATCCCCAGCAGCACGTGGGAAGCCGACTTCAGCTGTATGCTGCTTTTCCTGGCTGGTGGTGACCCGACTGGGTCGGTCCCATCCGGAGTAGCATACAGATGAAGCCAGCTTCCCACAAGCTGCTGGGGACGGGAAGAACCCGGGTGGGTCTGCACCGGCCAGCAGAAGCAGTGGCGGAGCTGTGCACCAGTCAGGATGGGACGAGCCAGGCCGGAGCTCGGCTGCATTTTTTCGCTACCTGCACCGGTCAGTCCCAAGTGGCACATGGCTCCACCACTGCTTCTGCTGGCTGGTGCTGACCTGGCCAGGCCCCTCCTGTCCCCAACAGCATGTGGGAATCCGGCTTCAGCCGCATGCTGCTCCGGATGAGACAGACTCGCCTGGGTCAGCACCAGCCAGCAGAGGTGGCGGCAGAGCCGTGTGCCGCTCAGGACTGAATGGCGCACGTAGAGGGAAAATGCAGCTGAGCCCTTGCTGCTCCAGCTAGGCTCATCCTGTCCCGAGAGGCACATGGCTACTCCTCTTCCCACACGCACCATATCAGCAACGTCAAGCTGACGCGGTGCATGTGGGAACCTTGTCCTTTTCCCAGCCCTTCAGCAGCCATTAGGAAGCTGCTGAGGTGCTGGGGGAGGGACAAGAGGTGGGAACAAACGAAAACAGTGTTTACTTTCGTTTCCCGTCGCAGCACCTCTGGCCTCAGAAAATGCCTTGGCGGGCTGCATGGCGGCCCGCAGGCCATGTTGGACAAGCCTGCTCTACAAGAAGTGCAATGCTAAAATCAAAAACTATGACATCATCATGAGACTGCCTTCCTTCAGAACCATCTTCATTCAGTTAACTTTAAAAAAACCATCAACATTTTATCAGACTTTAAACTCTTGTCTTCTCTCGTCTTAGTTTCCAGCTTTTCTTTTTCTCTCCCACACATTTGTATAACAACAAAAATCCCATAGAAATCATTCCCAATCTGTTCTTCTGCAACCTTGCCTGTTGTCAGTCTACAGTGGAAACTTGAAATGACAAGTCTGGGAATGAACCCCCCAAAACGCTCATCAGTAACTTTTGAGCTATCTAAGCCGTAAGTGGCAGAACCAGGCAGCTGAAAGCAGTATTAGAAAATAGCCAGAAAAATGTGGAAACAAGAAATTATGAGATATGCTTAGTTTCATTCTCCTCCAAACTGGGATATTA